AACAACAGAAAATCGGGATCTAATTCAAGGGGACGTCCCAGGAAGACGTGGATAGAGAGTGTGACTTGGTATGGCATGCCTGTACACAACAGCCTCCAGACTAGCCGTCGGCCGCCAACTGTCCCTCCCCACGACACCCCAGACGGTAGAAGTGGACGGATAAGTTATAGTAAGAAGATATCAGTATGCTATGGGATAGGACTGGTTCAAATTACTACGTGTGGAATTTATCAAAAGATTGACTTTATCTAAAATCCAGGTTTGCTGAAATCGCTTTTTGAGTGCCTATGTGGCTTCTTGCACAGGCCAGCTGCAACTGAATAGCTGCTATTCCGCACACAACATCTAACTTTGCGAAGTGATGACAAAAAAAGCTACTACAAGCGAGACTCGGCCATAAGATAGACACCGACCAGTGAGACACCGTTTACGTGAATTTTTCTAACTTCACGCAAAAAGAAGTCTCGAATTTTAAACACTTCACAGATATTAGAAAAAGTAGACCTTACCTGAACTATCAAAACTTCCCACCGGAGGCGAGGACTTGTGAAAAGTTGGTGCTTTCCCAGAAAAAAACCGTCCCGCGTTTAGTAAAGGTAAGAGTCGTGTGAGAGGCCTTCGACTGTGACATGTATGACCCAGTCTAGTCCAGTCCTCACGTGTATATGACTGAATGAACACTATTGTGAAGTCCTTGACAATTTATGACAAAAGATTTCATCAGATTAGCTGACACATCTGGGTTGAGACAAAAACAATGGAAACAAAAATGTCAGGAGAAAACCACATGACAATAATGAGTATTTACACATACATTTTTACAGAACGGAATTTCGCGTTGTCTGAAAAAATGTACAGGCTAGACTTATGAATCATCTAGACAATATTCGTGGAAATGGGAAATTTAAAGCTTGGTGACCAAGACAGGTGGGTGTCGTTAATGTGTTCTTATCCTGAGGGTGATGCAGAATTGAACAATTGAATTGAAAAGCTGGGACATTTCTTGCACTATTAATTCGTATCGCCGCCAGCATTGACGTCATCAAAAATTCCTTGGCCGGGGGCACTTTGATGTCTGGCTAATCATTGATTTACAGCAAAGTTCTAGCTACATGTAGAAGTCCTGATGGTGGAAAGAAGATGCCGGTGTACTCTCGTTTTGAATGACTGGAGGTTGTTGTCAGTGATCAGGCCGACCACGTTGTCTGGGAGACTGTTCCAGATGTGTACTGCAGTATGTATGCAAGTTCTGCTGGTGGTGTGAGTTCTAGATACCGGCAAAGTGAGGGCATGTTTTCCTATGGAGAGACTGCTGCGGGTTGTACTCAAACAAATGCCTTGATCATGAGCAGAGAGTATAACAGAAACCTTGGGCGAATTATGTTAAATGGGCATTATGTGACATTTCTGCACCAAAATGGTTTGAAACATTTTGATTGGTATTCGTGTGATTGTAATTTCCTTCTACTTTTCAACATGTATGTGCAATAATCTCACATTTCTGACTTGATGGTTGCGAACAAACCAGCCTACACGATGCGCGCTCAGTTTGTGGTACCACCACAAACTACCAGAATGTAAACAAACATGGCAGACCACCGTGCTTCCAGGCGTCATATTTTGGCACCTCCACTTCTGAATGGCACTAATTTGCAAATGGGAGTAGGGTCGGTCGAACTTTGTAAAGAAATGGCCAGAAAGTTGACATTTCCTTTCGCCCTAATGCTACATAATGCCGCTTTAAGATTTGTTCATGCCATTAACCCACAAGGAATACCCATCTTCAGGCGTAAATCGATCGATCAATCAATCAATCAATCAATCAATCAATCAATCAATCAATCAATCAATCAATCAATCAATCAATCAATCAATCAATCAATCAATCAAAACTGATATATTGGTAAAAAAAGGCGTTGCACACAAAGGCTGAATCAGGCCTTCTGTACATTTCACATTTAACAAGCGTTTACAATATAATGTGAAAACAATAAAATAATACATTTCTTTACATAAGCCTTGCTTGCATAAGCCTTGCTTGCACTCTCTCTCTCTCTCTCTCTCTCTCTCTCC